TGTTATTCTATGCCGGTAACGAAAAGTTTAACCATTCGTTCGTCCATTCGTTTTTACATTCTTTTGTTAAGCCCATTCAATACCATGTTATTCTAAACGAAAAGTTTAACCATTAACAAAATATTTTTCTCTAGGTTGGCTGCCGAAATCTCTTCCAGAATTTTCAGACTACAGCATAGATTGTTTTTCTACAGGATCAGGTTTACCCGACCCCCATACCGGAATTATGCCGCCACTTCTCACAGTGGATGCTAGGAATCTTACAAACGGAGCAAGTAAGTTTCTGCACGACTTTCCATCAGGAAGTCTGTCTCATAAATAAGGTTGTCCTTTTATATGGAGCAACAAGAGACCACAATATACTGGGTAAAGGTGATTCGAATAAATGTAAGAGTTCGGTCATCTCCGATTTCATACAAGCCTGATGATATGAGTGATAGCGGGACCAAGAAAGCTCAGATTATAACATAGGCAAGATATAACGCGTGCTCTGATTAGCTAATTTTCTATGTGAAAAAATGGATATCCCATAGAGATATCCCATAGAAAATGTTTTTACGGTGAAGCGGCGAAAAATTCACCGTTGGTTCGCTAGCTCAGTAGCAAATAGCAAAGTGTTTCGTGACTTAAAACTAGAAATATGGTTTCTTTTCCATCTAACAAAGATTTTTAGCTTCCTAATTTTGATTTTGAGTTTGAATAAAACATTGAACCCCCAGTTAATAAACAACAAAAACTAGAAACAAATTCACAAAGATTTGCTAACTTCAACGAAAGCGAATTACAAGATATCCTCGCTGATAAGCAGTCTGCCAAGACCAAAAAAAACGACAAACTGGTGTGTTTCCACGTTTAAAGGTAAGAAAAATCAATTAATAGCTTTTATGAGACAAAATGGCATGAATTTTTGACTTAGTTAAAAAGATAGAAACTAGTTTTCATGAAAAATATTTTTCGCGAAAATGTCAACACAGACAATAAACACTAACGTGGCTTTCGTAAGTAGTATTGTAGACAGCTATCACTCTCAACGAGGAAAATTATAAAATATTTAACACCAATCTTTTCGTATTTCTGCTTTGTTTTTATTTATAGCAAACTGTTTACATATTTTTAAAGCAGTGAATCGATCTATCGGCAAAAATCTCCTATTAATTCACTAAGTAATGAAATAAAACATCGTGTTTTCAAGCGGTTCGCACTGCAACTAAGAACAACAAAAAATAATTGCTCGATAATAGATAAGAAATACAAAATAATTGTTCTTAACCTTTTTCAAACCTTTATTCTTTTAGCATGGTGCAAAGAGAAGCACATTCAGACACCTCTTGAGAAGATGACGCTTGGTCAACTGGATGCAAATCTCCGCAGGTTTTATCCCGAAGCACGAAAGACAACCGGCGAGATGTACAGCAAGAAAACACTCCTGGGCTTTCGACATGCCATTGAGAGATATATGAATCAGCYTCCTTTAAACCGTGGTTTGAAGCTCTCAACTGACCCAAGGTTTAACCGTTCAAATGAGATGCTTGATGCCCAGCTAGTTCAAATGAAGCGAAAAAACAMGGAGGATACACAACATAAACCAGTCATAGAAAACCAAGATCTATTGAAGTTGAAAACTTCCGAGGCTCTCTCCCTTAATGATCCATGGAGTCTGTTAAGGAATGTCTGGTTCCATCTGATCTTGTTTTTCTGCCGGAGAGGAAGAGAAGGCCAGCGAGAGCTAAAGACATCAAGCTTGAAGTTTGAATATGATGCAAGCGGGCGACACTACGCTACAATGGCGCACGACGAAGCCACCAAGAACCACCCGGGCGSMATAAATGATGTAAACTCCTCAGAGAAAAAAGCTCGAATGTATGAAACTGACTACCCAAACGACGGCTACAAAGCTCTGCGCTTGTATTTGTCAAAGACCAATCCAAACTTCGAATCTCTCTTCCAGTATCCGAAGAGAAATTGGTCCCCAACAGACGACGTGTGGTACGAAAACAGGCCCGTTGGCGTCAATAATCTAAACGGAATGATGAAAGAGATCAGTAAAGAGGCCAAATTAYCCCGCCCATWCATTAACCATTCAATCCGAGCCATATCAATCACAGTGATGTCAAATGCAGGCATTCCTAATCGCCATATAATGGCCATATCTGGGCATCGAAACGAGCAGAGTTTGGCACACTACAATACGAGGMCTTCGACCGAACAACTGCACCACTGTTCTGAAGTGCTCTCCCAAAGTCTCACTTCCTCAAGCCAAGCGATTGTCCCGGCTACTGTTCATTTGAACACAGCTGTTAAAAACAACAATGTCGTTGTAGAAGTTGCAAGACAAGATCCGACGAGCCAGTTTAGCTCCATCTTTAGCAACTGCACAGTTCAAAACTTTCAACTGGTCATTCAGGAGAAGTGATCGCTCAGTCTATCGCAACGGGTGTAGACAATGAACATAACCTCTGTGATTCATCTTCTTTTAGACTCTCATTTCTCCGCGAAGGCTTTTAAATRACTTTTTTGATTATCGCGGTATATTTCTTTTAGAAGAGGYGCTGTAAAACATACTTTGAGCTTTCTTGATCGTCAACGGTAAATGTAAATTTCCTTAGTGTGCGCGMGCACAGTAAAGAGAGTTTTGACATGTGATCATACGAAWAAWTTTTTTTCTGAGAATTAAAGTCGTTATCTATGTTATAAAAGCAATGGTCCATAATTAGCGTGCATATATCCAGTTMTGGAAGCACTCTAGCAGCTARAGATGCTCTCGGCTACGGCTCGAGCATCTCTTACGCTGCTCTCGTGCTTCCAGAACTGGATATGCGCACGCTAATTATGGACCATTCCTTAACATTCGCACATTTTATTGCTTCATATTATTGATTTATTTCATTTCATTCGGCAAACATTGAAGAAGTGAAGTACGTCGTTTGTTTGTTTCACTTTTGTCTTTTTGTTGTTGTTGTTGTTGCTTGTTTGGTCTAAGTACTGTTACCATTATATTTATAAGCGGTTTTTGCGATTTTGAGTCACCAATACGGGTTTGTATCGGCGGCTAGTTGGGATAAAATATACATACTGTTYGGGAACGGGATTTATACACCTAATTCCTGAACAAACGTCGGCTCCAAAAAAAGGTTATATCATCAAAGCTAAGACCGAAGGGGAGCATGGGAAGACAAAATACCGCAGCCAAACAGCTCTC